CTGTAGCATAGCTCCCACTCGAGGCAGGCAGCTCCTTCTCCAGTGGGTAATAACATTCTCTCTCTCTTTAATGGAAGTATAGTTGATGTACAGTGTTGTGTTTGGGATCTTTTTGTCTGCATGAGCCTAGACCCTTCTGATCCAGGGTCTCCCAGGGCTGGACCCTCCGAGGAAACACTCTCTCTAGCAGCGTAACTTCTCAAACCCATCACTGTTCGTCCATTCCAAATAGCTTATAGCTTGTAAATGTTTTCAGTTAAGATATTTGCTTCTTTCAGTGTTTCTGGGTAGGAGGTCGTCTTTCTGATTATGAAGAGATGACCATGAGACTGTAAGGGAAGGGCTGCTGCAGAGGGCGGATGTAAGCCTTACAATTATGTGGTGAACTTGGAATTATTTCCCTTGAGTAACTTTAGGGGTTCATGTGAGGACATAACCCCTGCTCAGATGAAGCTGCTTTTTAAAATAATGTCCACAGAGGAATTCAGAAGGTTTTCTAATGTGTTCTCTGTGTGTTTACCAATTTAATCTGCATCTCTTCCTTGATGCCAGATGGATTGTAAGGAATTTCCATGATTCTGTCTCAAGTTTATAATGAAATTCACCACCAGGGAATTTTGTTGAAACAGGAAGGTCTGACCCCAGCTTAGGTTCCACAGTTGCTTCTGATACTTGCCGCTGACTTACTACAAGGAGCAGACAGTAGACATTACCAGGGGAAGTGAAATACAGTATAATTCTGGATTTTCTGGCAAGAAGTGGAACCAAGAACTAATGTAAAATGGACTGATTTAAAATCTTTGGTTCTTTGAGTTTTCATCCCAACCAGTCACAGCCTTGAATCGCTAAAAAATAATCTGGTGCTCGAGTAGCACGTTGCAGTGCAACAACGCTTGCATCTGTGGGCTCTCACTTAACCTTGTAGTTTCATGAGGAGGTAGGTAAAAATCATTCTTAGAGAGATTTCTAATTTTGTTTTATAGATTGAAAGTAGGCAGATTCAGAGTTGTTAAATGACTTGTGTGAGGGCACACGGAGAGCAGGTGGTGTACTGAGATTCTAATTCTCATCTTCCATTTTTAGTTTCTTCCTACAACTTCTGATTTGCAGAATTGAGGGATCCATGGTGCCCTCAGCAGCTGAAACCTGAAATCTCCCAATTAGAGTTTATTCTGCTGGTTTATATTATTCCTAGGTGTTTGCCTCTGGTCTAAACGTATATGTCCCTGGGAAAATGATATGCAGAATAATAGAAACATCCATTCAGTCAGTTGAATGGATCTTTATTCCCCCTTGACTTTTATTTTAAAGGGGGAAAGGTCAGAGTGGGTGGGGCGGTTGAGGACGAGGATGAGGAGTCGTCTTACTGCCTCCTGCAGTTCACCTTGGTCTCAACTTCTGACCCAGGAGTGGGGTCATTATTTTAGAGGTGAAGCCTGTGGTATTTTTCATTGTTTTCCGGCAGGTGACAGCTTAAGGGGGCCAGTTGTACCCCATAAGCCGCTGGGTAACATGCTATCACAGACACTTGAAGTGGGTGTTCCCTTTTATACCCTAGGCATTGCTGTGTAGTAGAAATTGTGGGTCGCTGTGGCGCCTCTCGTGATGGATGGGAATCTTTGTATTGAGGTTACATGGAGAATTCTAGGAGCCTGGCAGAAGGTACATGTATCCATTGGAGCCTTGCAAAAAGATGCATATACTCATCTGAGTGTCCTGGGGCATGAACGGCAGCTCACCTTGGTTGGGCCACATACCTGGAGGTCTCCAAGGCTGTAGGGGGCTGTCCTGCCAAGACTGAGAGAATCTCAAGGTCCACAGGTCAGCAGCACGTGGGGAACCAGGCAAATGTCTCTGTGTCCCAGCATCCCCAGCCTCGTAAGGCACATATAAGCATGACGACATGCATCTCTCAACTTTTCTATCTCCCTAGGCAGTCTTCAATGAAACGTCTTCAAAACCTGCAAACAGAAGTCAGAATTAAGAAAAATCTCTTCTCTAAAGCAAGGTTTTTTCCATCCCCATGTATTAATCCGGTTTCTTTCTACATTTCACCCAGTAGCAGGTCTAAACTGCTTTTAATGAAAACTGGGTTCATTTTCTTAGCCAAGGAATGTTGTCTGTTGAGTCTGTGCCCTTATACTGCGCTGTGGGGACTGATCAGGCCATGAAGAGGGGACCCGTTCGATAGCTTCAATCCAGCTTTCCTCACCTTGGTTAGAGCACTGGAGTTTGGTTGCAGCTCCCATCCCAGTTCAAGGTTAGCAGCAAACACTCCCCTGCCCCCTCAGAACAGGGGAGGTTAGACCTGGAAGCTGGGCTGGGGGCTGGGAGATGCTGCAGCTCCCTTGCTGATTTGTGGTATGTCTGTCCGTCTGTCCTGGTAAATCGTAGTCAAGGAGCTGAGCTTCATGTCATTCCCTGTAGCATGGAAGTCCCCCTAGGAGGGTGTGATGTACTGAAAATGAAACTCCCAGGTCAGTCACTGAATAACTTCTAAGCCATACACCTGCAGGTGAGTGAACAGGCTGTTCTCGTTTTTAATAATTTTGCATATATCATACAGAACTTCTCAAATAACACAACTGAAGCCCTGGTTTGGGGCAGTAGAGAGCACTCCCAGCTTTAAAACACAGAATAGAATTCCTTACCTCACTAAGGAGCTACTGGGCATTCCTGGTAAGAATCTGCCTCTGCCTCAGTTTCTCCTTGTTTTTAAAAAATGCAGTCTCCGTGTTAAGGGTGGTGCCTAATCAGAGTCATTCTTGCCATGAGGTAATGTGTCAAAGGACTTCTACCAGCTTTCTAGAACTGTCTTTCTAAAAGCTGGCATAATTCACATATGGTTTGTTTTACTCATTTTCCTTACGTGTTTAATTCCTATTAATATTTGGGTATAATAACCCTTCACATATCTGAAACAAAATGATAAATAATGATTACTGTAGATTCCTTTTAAATAAAAATTCTAGAATGCAACTAAAGTCATAGGCAAGGAGGGCAAAAGAACATTAGAGTAAAATAAAATATAATGGCTACTCTGAGAAATCTATCTGAAAGGAACATTTCTACCAAATGGCAGTGATTTTGCCCCACTTATTGTGGGAAAATTGCACAGTGATGATTGTTCTATTGCCAATCACTTCTCTGTGGCCATGCTGTTTTAAATATACGCTGAAAGCTTTGGGCTTTTTTCCTCCCATTTGCCCTTGCAGGAAATGTCAATGCAAAATTTGACTTTAGTATGAGATGCTGGATAATTTTTTATTTAAACCCTTCCAATGTCTATTTTTAACGCCAGTCTCTCACCAGAAAGCAGTTAAGAAAGGTTCTCTAATATATGTGTTATGTGTACTGAGATGTTTTTCTTTTATAGGTCAGCATAAACTCCCATAGGGGGCAGAAAATATGATTGAAAATTGTGTGTGTGCGTGTCTGTGCTTCAGTCCATTTTGGTTGGCCTGAGTATTCTAAAAACACGACTGTATGAGGCATGATGATCTGGTCGGTGCATGGGTGCCGGGTTGGAGCTCAGCAGCCACTGCAGGAGTGATATCCCTCCCGCCCACCCGTGTCTCACCAGAGCACAGCTGATACGCCTTTTTATAGTGCTCCGGAGTAGCCAAGACTGCTCTGCCTTCCCTGCCTGCTCCCTTGTGCCCCCCCTTCTCCAGTGCTGTCCCTGAAAGGAAAGGAAGAGTCTGATTGTGACCTTGGGCTCAAAGATAAAGGAACTGCCCCTGCCAGCTCAGAGTCCATGAGTAAATCATCTTGTCTCACCTCTCCCTGGAGACTGGTGCACGGACATGACCTAGACACGAACATTAATAATGGAAGCCTGATCACTCACCCATTCACTTTTTTGGCTTGTTTTAAAATACTTGATTCAGACATAAGACATGAAATCTGTGTTACAAAACACAATGAAATGAACTGCACACATCTGCACCAAACACTCAATCCAAGGATGAGAACAGAGATAAGGATTTACACCTACCTACATGCTAATCCATTCATTTTTTTTTAAAGAAGGAACTGTTCTATTTAGAAGTAACATGAATTCTTTCATATCACTGGATTATGTATTTTTAAAAACTCATTATTCAGTCAACCATTTACTAAGCGCTTTGGGTATCCAGAATGGCAGAGGAAGAACTGTAACATTTTCTTTAAAAAATGATACATGTGCTTCTTGAGCATCTGCAGAGAAAAATGTCCAGGTTCCCAGACAGGAAAAATGAATTAAAGATGAGTCATGAGCCATTTGGAAAGGTTATACTCTCCAGTTGCTGGTGAAGAAAATAAAACAGACCATCAAAAGTTGAACTTGGCTCTCTCAGAAATCTCTGTTGCATTAAAAAACAAAGCCCTCTGCAATCATGAATTGGGCACAGGCATGCTAGAGGATTAGGGAAGGCATCTTTTGGTTAATGTTCTAATTACATACATAGTTCCTGTGTATTTTTCAACACTTTTTATCAGAAAGGTGAGGATAACATTCAGGTTTTTTTAGTCTACTTTGTGGAGTTAAGGTAGTTATTCCTATATAGAAAACTTTGGCCATACCCAAATCTAATCAGATGTTTTCTCCGAGTAAAGTAGAGCCAGCTCTCGGTTGTGGCAGAAGAGATGCTTCAGGCCAGGCAACATGTGAGTCCCCTGCCACCCCTGGCAATCCCAGGATGATTTCAGTAACTATGGGGCAGCATGTGCTGGAAAGTGAAACGTGACCTTTTTTAGGAAACCTGTATTTAAAATCTAGTCAAGTGATGAATCCTAATAAGCAGAGTTTGTCCTGAGTGTAAAGGCTATAATTTGGAAGTGTCAGATTCCTCACCCCTTTTTCTCCCATATGGTCAGCCAGGACTTTGGGTACCTTGTAGCTCACAGGCCTTCAGGACAAAGTTGAGAGGTGTTATGATTCACAGAGAGCAGATTTCAGTCCATTCAGAAATTATCCTGTCTGTCCTTCCTTAATCATCTTAGTCCCAAAAGAACTGATGGAGGATTGTCTGAAATAAAGCAGTATTCGAACAACCATCTCATTTTACTTTCCAAATCAAGACTCTTGATGAGGCCTTCTGGTCTTAAACAGTCAAATCTGACTTGCAGTTTGGATTAACAGCTCAGAAAGAGCTTGAATTATTCACCTGCTCATAATGCAGCATTGTCGACCAGGAGGCCTTGGGGAAGAGGGACAGAACCTGAGAATCAGAAATGGAAGTTGTAGAGCAACAAAGGAGAGAGAAGGTTGCGGGGGGGGGTTAGTTTCCAACCCAGCCAGTATGGATCCCAAAGATGATGGTGGTAAAGAAGGCTCCCTTTACGTTCAGCCCACACATCTCTTATGAAGAGTCAGCTCTCAGAGATGAAAACTGTCTTTCACATTAGGGGTTCCCCCACTTCATTAGAGTCCTAAGTGCTTCACAATATCCATCAAAATTTTTAGCTATACCCCAGTAAAAATTGTCAGGTTACTATTTCGAATATATACATTTATTTATATTAAATTGCATGAGTAACATTGTCCCTTGTAGACAAATCAGAAAATACTGATAAAGGTCAGTTTAGAAATTAACCATCCTTAATCTTATCCCCTATTTTTTGGTATGAATTTATTTTATACATTATAGATTTTCAAGATAAAAACGGCATTTCGCTATTTTACAATCCACCTTTTAGTTCCAAGATTATAGTTTAGCATCTTTCCACGTCATTTAATATATTTAGAAGTCATTTTGATGCTTTTTTTAGAATAATGATTTTATTCCT